AAGATGTCCTTGCACAGGTGCCATCTAACTTGAATTTAGCTAAAATGATTGGAAAAACATTAAAAATCACAAGCATTATTCATAACACCGACAACTTGTCTGAACCGTGTTTCGTCCGAATCACCACCTCCAGGTAAAGGCCAGACTTTTATCTGACCGGAGTGTTGTGAGGAACTCCTGTTGTTCCCCATCAGCACACTGGATGTCCTCATCGAGCGTCCCCCAGCCATGAGAGGCTGACTTACTTTGCTTTTCTTATAGGGTCCTTTCTATGAATACATTTATTAAACAAACAGCATTTTGTTTTTTATTTATTTGACTTCAGATACCCTGATTGGGTAACGCCAGCAGCTCCTCTGTCCGACATCCTTAACTCTGCCAGCCTCTTATGTGAGTCCACTGAGACAGAGATGTGGTAATAACAGCCCTATGATGTGTTTTTATGCCTTGTTTTGAGTTGTTTTCCCTCTTTTCTCCGAAGCAGCGGCTGGCTGTTGTTCGGCTTTTCGTGAACCTCTCCTCCAATTAAGAGACTTTAGCACTGTAGCCTCCGCCAGATCCCTCTGCTTCAGAGGAGCTTCAGCTTCAGCTGTCCTCCACTTTTATTACTCCAAGACCGCCATCTCCTGGTTGGCTTTGGTGATCAGTTCACAGGATCAATTGAGCTTCATTCAAAATACATTTATTACAGTCACATCTAAAGATTTATATTCATACATAGAACACCAATCAACATAGATACAAACTAGAGAATTGGGGATTCCTCAAATAGCTTCAAAACAATTTAATATCATGAGATGCCGAAGCAGCAAAAAGATCTATAATTATTTTCTTTAACATGTCCTAAAAGTGCCAGAAATTTGACTTGCTCTGACTCTGTAACCCCAAGTGACAATCTCATGATATCATCATAGAGAAATTGATGTTTTTCTATAATTTGACACCCGTATGTATGGAGTCCAATATGACATCAAATACCCCCCAGCCCACAGGAAAGTAAATCTGTACATCTGCTTAACCTGAGAAGGACTGTGTTTGGTTGTTCTTAAATATTGCACTTAAATATGCTGGTCATCCCTAATTTCTATATAATAAACGTCCAAAATGAAATTGTTACAGATTCTAAGATTATCAACCAATTAAACACTGTTTTTAAAGATATTTTGTGTCTTTTGTTCTACGGATCATGACAACACTATTACGTTATATTATTTTTATTTGGCCCCACATGCAGAACTATGACTGAATATATATGATTTTCTGTATTTACGACAGTACTTCTCCACAAAATGAGTGGATAGAAATTTTGAGTTAGGGGTTCTAGTTTATCCTAATCTGCAAGAGATTCTCCAAGAGTTTTAAAAATCACCCTGTAGGACTCCACGGGCACCACAATGGAAATCGTCTGCTTCAAATGATAAACATTTGAGGACCATAATAAATAGAACAAACACATCAGAAACACTGAGAAAGGTACAGCTATGACGCTACGGAGAAATCAATAACCCTGGCTAATAACTCATTACTGTTTGCAGTTTAATAAAGATGGATAAACATCCAATTAGATATTTGTGTAACGTAGTTTGAAAAGAAAAAAAGAAAGAATGACGCATATAGAGATTTTTTTCTCATGTTGGATGCAAAGCGTTGGATCCAACGACACTTATTTGGTTCGTTGTGGTTACCAGTTTGCACCGGTGGGGCGTTGTTGCACGTAACAGTTGTGTCCCAAACCCCGCCCATCTCGGACTGCTCTGTGGTTCAAAACCAACACCACCCGCAGTCGTGCCATCGCCCGTGAATGTTAGCTCGTTTGCTAGAAGAAAGCTCGATTGTGCACCAAAAGGACGACCTAAGTAATTTGACAGAATTTACCGAAAGCAAGGCATTTTGCTCGTAAAGGTCGTGGTGAGTATTTTGTCCCCAGACATTTTTCATTTTTCCTTCCTTTTTCTTTTCTTTTTGGATTTTTTTCCTACGATGCTTTTTGGACGTAATGTGCTGGCTAGCGGGGTAGCTAGCTTAGCTAACGTGGAAATGCTCAAAGACATGAATGGTGCTTGTTGTTTTTATAGACGACGCTTTGGATGCAAATTAGCTACTGTTTCTCCTATTTTTGCAAGTTTTGTCTAGTTTGAATTTTTCTAGCCTTTACTCGGAAGATTTTTCCTTGACGGGACTGATTTGTTTTTTTTGGCACGCTCTTAGCGCTAGCTAATGGCGTCAGAGGCTCCGTTGCTCTGCTAGCCGCAGCATCCTCTCCGATCCATGATTGATTTCTGATTATCGGCTGCGTATCTATCTGAATTTTGCAAGTTTTGGTTTTTGCAAGCACAAGAACTGGTCAGATTGCTGTGTATTTTTTCATGCTTTCCAGTAGTTGGTTGGCTAACGTTAGCCATGCTAGCCGGCTTTGAGCCCCCGGGCCTGTGGTTCACACTGAAGCCTGGCGGTGGCGCTGTCGCTCTCCAGGCGGGTGTTGTGGATGGTTTAGGTAATTTTCACTAATAACCACATAAAGAAACAAAGACTGCTTTTCACGGCTCGGTCAGCTTTTTTGTGGAGTTCCCCTCGTTTTTTCCTTTTCCCACGCATGATGAGTGAATTTTTTTTTTTTTTTTTTTGGTCTCAAATTTTTCTGATTTTGGGTGCTCTGGACGGCCAGCGGCCTTGGCTTTGTTTCAAAACGTCACAATACACATTTGATTAAACGATTTTGTAATAAAGTTTACGACTGCTTTAATGTGTATCCAATTCAAATGGCGAGCGTCCACTGCTCTGAAGGCCGCAGTTAACCCCCATGAGCCCCGTTTGTGGCCTGATCCGTTTCAGGCCCTCCTGCTAGCTTTTAGGCTAACCCGTGATTTAAACATGTACATAAAATGCCCGGACTGTTGTTTACATCTGAAAAACCTCTCACTCTTGAGAAAACACGGGGGAGGGTTGCCAGAGGGGCTTTCATGGTGTCTGTGAGGACAATGACGTTCACATTAAATAAAAAATAATTATTTATTTAAGCCAGTGTTGCCAGGTCCTGTTATATAAACGACCAATTTGTGCTCTAAAACCTAGCATCCTTGATTCTAGGGCAGTAATAAAGATACAATATTCCTCTGACTGTGAATTTGAATTAAATGGCTGCTTTAATCTTTTTAGTTATTCTAGCTGGAGAAAATGCCTACAAATTTGAATTGTCCTGAAAAGATATAACCTATTCAAATCATCCTTCCTGTAATCCTCATTAATGTCAGCAATGTTGTTTTTACGTTCATCACTGTATAAATGTGCATCTCACCTAGGTCTTTTAATCCAATATTTTATGCATTTCTCATGTCTTTCTCTTTGTATTTGAACTGTAAAATCCATCCTGTCTAACTGGGGCAAAGAAGACGAGGGGGCTTCTGCTATACAGGAGGACCAATTGGGGATGATGCTATTTCAACAAATGTATATAAATCCATGAAACTCCAATCTGTACCTGTTGACCTTTTGGGGTGTTTAAAGAAAAAGGGTTAAAGATTATTATTTAAAAAAAAAGTAGACCTGGCAGCACTGATTTAAAAACACCAACCCAAGTGGCTCATATCAGTCAGAGTTGCTACGGAACCATCTCTTACTTTGCAGGAAGCTATTTCCAAAAATAATTAAAGGCAGAAAGTGACACGAGCTTTAATCGTGAAGAATTAATAAAAAATTACCACATACATAAAACGACTCGCGGAGGAGTGCGTAGCGGGAAAAACTCCCTCTGAGAAATCTGACACGGCTCCTTTAACCTGTGGAGCCATTGATCTGTGATTGCTTTCCGTTTGTTCCAAACGTGAACAAAGAAACACTTTTGATGGGTGCTGTGTGTGTGAGAACTGTCGGTCAGAGGCCTGTGCGTACATCCTCACATCGTGGCAGTCTCATCCCACCTGCGTCATAAAGGCTGACCCGTGGTGTGACGTTTGTGGGTCCAAACATGCACTAGTGTCTAGTTTTAGCCTCTGAGGGGGGGCACCGCGCCGCCGTAGCCCCGCCTCGTCACTGACTCCTGCACACACCCCAGCCAGGTAAGACTTGGATGGAGATAACCCTGCCCAGCTTGACTGAGGTGTGTTTTCTGTCACCTCAGTATAAATCGAGAGGGGCGAAGGTCAGGACACCAGCCCACACTGAGCCCAGCCCCCAGGGTCAAACCTCCGACGACAGCCCTGCACACAGACGCGATGGAGTGAGTGATGAATGTTTAACCCCCCCGTCAGCTCCGTGGGGGGGGGTTGTTACTGTTGATGCCTCTGCTGTTTTCCACATGTCCACGTCTCCATAGTAACACAAGGCTCTTCCTTGTGCCGGAGGAGAGGATTTCTAAGCTGTCGTTGGTCTCCAGTTTATCGATGAGGGCTCAATGAAAAGGGAAATTTGCCTCTCGTTTAGCGTCGCCTTTCAGAGTAGCGACGTCAGAGGAAGTGTTGAGGGAATACCGGTGCGCGGATGTGTTCCGGTTTTTATTTTGTTTTTGTTAATCAAAACCCTATTTCTGCTAATGTTAACGCTGCTGCATTTGCATGATTTCCCCTTTTTATTTAACGCCGCCGGCATCCTGCTGCAAAAGCAGAACCTGATGGTGAACTCGTCTGAGGGAAGGCAGCGGAGAATGTCACACCTGGTTGTTTTAGGGACATTTTTGAGTTCAGCTGAGGGCTTTAATCGCCCGCTGGTGAATGATTGAGCCGACTAAAGGCCTCTGGACGCACAGCCATCGAGAGCAGGTGTCTCGAACTCCTCGAGGGGCCGCTGTCCAGCAGGTCTGAGCTGTTCCCCCGCTTCCACACTCCTGATTGACCTCATCAGTCTTGGAGAGGCCAGTTCGATCCGACTCGGCTGTGCAAATCCTGCAGGGACAGTCTCTCCTCCTCTTTAGGTCAGGCAGGCTCCTCTGTGTCTCTAAATCCTGTGTGTGTGTGTGTGTGTGTGTGTGTGTCCCCGCCAGCCGCTCGCCCACCACCGCCAGCCTGATGGCCAGCAGCAACGTCACCAACAAAACCGACCCGCGCTCCCTGAACTCCCGGGTCTTCATCGGGAACCTCAACACCCTGCTGGTCACCAAGGCGGACGTGGAGGCCATCTTCTCCAAGTACGGCAAGATCGTGGGCTGCTCGGTCCACAAGGGCTACGCCTTCGTCCAGTACGCCAACGAGCGCAACGCCCGCACGGCCGTGGCCAGCGAGGACGGCCGGATGATCGTGGGACAAGTGCTGGGTGAGGAGTCGCACTCTCGCACCGCCACCTCCGTCCGAGCTCCACCACAGCATCCATCAAACTCACAGCCACACGCAGAGCATCCGCAGCGGGTCGTTTTCAAACAAAATCAAACAAAAAAAAAAGGTTTTCGAGGTTTTTCTGCCGCCGGCGGTTTCAGAGCAGTCCTGACTGGTTTGGGTCATGGAGCGTGTTCGGGGGGGGGGCCTGGGGGGGGGGGGGGGGGTCTCCGTTAGTGTGAACGTCGTGTCCGATCTCGGCCCGGACGCCGCTGGCCCCCCTCTCTGACCGCCATGTTGCTCCCCAGACATCAACCTGGCCGGGGAACCCAAACCGCACCGCTCCAAAACAACCAAGCGCTCAGCGGGCGACATGTACAGGTCAGTGCCCCCCCCCCCCCACCGGCCGCCGCCGATCCCTGCGGACGCCATGTTTCCTCACAGCCGCTCTCTCCTTTGATCTTTTTCCGTTTAGCAGCTCCTCCTTCGACCTGGACTACGACTTCCAGAGGGATTACTATGACAGGTGAGTGGGGAGCTTATACCGGCTCCACCCCCCATTCGTGGCGGCTCTGAAAGGCTTGTCTCTCCCTTTCGGCCCAGAATGTACTCGTACCCGTCCCGCGTCCCCGCCCCTCCCCCCCCCCCCCTGTCGCGGGCCGTCATCCCGTCCAAGCGCCCGCGGGTCAGCCTGAGCGGGGGCAGCAGCCGGCGCACCAAAAGCAGCTTCTCCTCGTCCTCCAAGAGCAGCCAGAGGACCTCATCGTCCAGAGCAAGTGGGTGCCCACAACGTAGAGAGCTTAACTCTCATTTCATCCTTCTCAGCGACTCAATAATCATAAAAAATAAACGCAGAAAGCCATAAGCAAACACTAAACATTCAATGAGTCATAAATACATTTTACTTAAAGGACAAAAAACTTGTCAAAAGTCACTTTAGTCTTTACTTTCTGACTTTGATTATTCACAGACTTCATTCAGATTTTATTAGTAAAACTGAACCGGCTCTTTTGTTTAGAAGACCCGACAAATCGATTAAACCAGAAAAACTCAGGAAAAGTTCCTTAGTCTCCTCTGAGAAACCGGTTCAGAGTCCGGGTGTGTCGGTTGTACTGAGGAGGTCAGTACTGAGGTACTGACCCCCATTCCCCCCCCGTGTCCCTGCAGTGCGAGTGGACGAGCTGCAGACCATCAAGCGGGAGCTGAGCCAGATCAAAAACAAAGTGGACGACCTGCTGGACAGCCTGGAGCGCATGGAGAAGGACCACAGCAAGAAGTCGGGTAAGAGGCCGCCCGGCGCCGCCTGACCGCCCCCCCGCTGGTCCGGGGGGTCGGGGGCTGACCGCCGGCGCCCGTTTTGCCCGCAGCTAAGAGCGTAAAACCGGAGCCGGGAGAGGTGACGTCGCCCCCACACTCCAGCAACAAGAAGGACGAGGGCCTGAAGCGGGAGAGGGAGAGCCAGGACATGAACGACTCGGACGAGGAGGAGGAGGAAGAGGAGGGCGACCTGCTGGAGGAAGAGGAGGTGAGATCCGAGGAAGCTGAAGCACCGCCGTCCCGCCGGGAGACGAGCCCGACAACGGCCTGACGCTCTGCTTTTGTTTTTATAGGTGAAGAGCCAAGAGCGGGAGGATGAAGAGGAGGAGGAGGAGGAAGAGGAGGGGGAGCACGTGGAGGGAGACGAAGAGGAGGCGGACAGCGTGAACGGCGACGACGACTCATAGACCGGAGCCGCCCCCCCCCCCCCCCCCCCCCCCCCCCCCCCCC